TCTGCCCTATGTACTTACGGACATCAGTTCCATCACTCATGCTATGTAAACCACACCCATGTTTGGTGCTACCAACCTTTCCCATTTCTATAAACAAAAACTGACCACTATCTAAGGAGTACTTCTCCCTGTTCCCCTCCCCCAACAGCCCTAATGAATAAACCACTAATGAATGTTAGCTTCCATACATTCACCTGTTCATGTCATTTTGGGAAAGTGAGAATATGCAGTATTTGTTTTTTATGATCATTTCCTTCAACGTAAGGTCCTACACCAAACCAAAAAACCAAACTCACTGCCGTCGAGTCGACTCCAACTCATAGCAACCCCTCCCCTTGGGTTTCCGAGGCAGTATCTCTACAGAAGCAGATTGCACAGTCTTCTTCTGAAGGAGTGGTTGGTGGGTTTGAACCACCAGCCTTCTGATTAGCAGTCAAATGCCTTAGGTATTATGCCACCAGAGTTTCCATAGGTTCATCAATGTTGTAAGATGTTTTGTGACTTAATTTTATCATTGAATAGTGGTCTAGTGAGTGGATGTACATTTTACTCATCCACTGATCTGCTAATGGGCACACAGGGTGTTTCCATCTTTTTGCTATTGTGATTAATGCTGCAACGAACACAGGTGTGCATCTGTCTGTCTGTGCCATTTCTGTTAGATCTCTAGGGCAAATACCTAGGAGTGGAACTGCTGGGTCATATGGCTACTCCACGTCTAGGTTTTTAAGTAACCTCCAGACTGCTCTCCATAGTGGCTGCACCATTTCGCATTCCTGCCAGCAGTGGGTAAGTATTCCAATTTCCTGACATCCTGGCCTACATTCATTATTTTCCACCTTCTCTTAGCCTTCCTAGTGGGGATGAAATGGTATCTCAACGTGTTTGAATGGCAGTTCTCTGACATTGAGCATCTTTTCATGTGTCTGGATGGCCATTTGAGTATCCTGTTTGGTGAAGTGTCTGTTCACATCTTTGGCCGAGTTTTTGAATGGGTTATTTTTTGTTGTTAAGTTACATAAGTTTTCTATATATTTTAGATATTAAATCCTTATCAGTTTTATCATTCCCCCCAATTTTTTCCCTTTCTGTAGGTTGACCCTTTACTCTTTTGTTAAATCTTGTGATGACCATAAGTACAAGAAGTGTCCAACTCACGATGCATTTAAGTTATAAAGAACTAACATATTCAAGTTACAACGAACTGAACTTATGACTATCTGGTTTTGTTATGGTACATCTTATTGTTAGTAATGTGTACTACATACAATGTTGAGCATGTTAATTTGCTGATGCTTATATGTAATGTTTCCAACCCCCACAGACAAAAAAATATCTGATTTATAAAGATACTGATAATAAAAGGCAATAATAATGAACATGAAAAAAGAAGAGGTATTGAACTTACATCAGAATGGGCTTACAACGGAGCTGTCAGAGCAGAACTCTGTCCTAAGTCGGGAATGACTGGTACTTAACTTTTCTGAGGTCCCAGTTTTCTTTCTTTTTTTCTTTTACTTTTTACCATGATTTGGGTGAAAGTTGACAGAGCAAATTCATTTTCCAGACAGCAGTTCATACCAATTTTGTTTCAGGACATTGACTGCAATTCTTCACAATGTAACAGCTTTCTTCTGCTTCCTCCCTGTAGTTACCCTCTCCCTGTGTCCTTCCCTTCTTTACATTCCTCCCTATGCCCCCCGAGCTGTCTCCCCATGCAAACACTGCCCTTCTATTCTCCAACTGATCACTCCAAGGAGTATATCTACCTGATGTAAATGTTCATCCCATATGCCTGTCTATTGTTTGGCTGGAAGCCACAGGAGTGAGTTCAGTTCCAGACTTGAAGGGTCAACTAGCGGCCATAGTCTTAGGGGTCTCACCTAGCTCTATTAGACCAACAAACCCAGTCTCTCTCTCTCTTTTCATAATTATGAGTTTTATTCCACACTGTTCTCCCATTCTATCCAGGATCTCCTGCACTGAATCCTTTCTGAGTGACTGACAGTGGTAGCCGGGCACCATCTAGTTCTTCTGGTCTCATGGTCATGAGACTGAGGATCGCATGGTCCACCAGTCCTTGGACTAAATTGCTTCCATGCATCTTCGGTTTTCTTCATTGTTCTTTGCTCTGAATGAAGGGAGACCCATCGTTGCATCTAGATGGCCATTTGAAAGCTTTTAAGACCCCAGTTGCTACTCACCAAACTAGGATGTGGAACAACATTTTTGCGTAGGTCCCAGTTTTCTGTTGCTCATGTATTTGCTGTTGTGCTTGATAATCTATCACTGAATAAAAATTAGGTCTCAAAGCTTTGCTCCTATATTTTCTTCCAGGAACTTTATGGTTTTAGATTTAACATTTAGGTCTTTGATCTGTTTTGAATTAGTTTCTGTGTATATGAGGTGAACAAAATTGATTTCTCTACACTGGCCATGTATCTGAAGACCCTGCTAAACACAGTTACTGTTCTAATCACTTTCTGCAGACTCTGTTGGATTTCCAGTGTAGACAATCAAGCCATTGGCACAAACAGATGGCTTCATTTCTTCCCTTCCAGTCGTGACACCTATTTCGGTTCCCTAGTGCTGCTCTGACAGGAATATACCACCAATGGGATAGTCTGAACAAAGAGGAGCTTATTCTCTTACGGTTTTGGAGGCTGGAAGTCCGAGTTCAAAGTGCCAGGCTCTAGGGGCTGGGCGCAAGTGTCTCAAACTTGGGCTTCAGCTCTGCCTTTTGCTCCTGGCCCACTGAAGCTGGAGGCTTTTCTTCACTCAGGCAGCTGTTGGCTGCTTAGGCTGACAAGCCCAAGGCCAACAAATAAAATGGCAGAGTCCTGATAGTACCAAACCACGCTGATTCAAGTACAGAAAAAGTCCAAAAATCAACAGGGCAACGTGGCAGGCTGCTGAACAACGACTTGGCTACATGTAGGACCCAAGCATACCATAAGCTGGAGACCTTCCTCAAAGTTGCTTAACATACTGGAAGCAACCCATACCCCTAAAGCAGCTACTCAGCTGCTTGTGGTAGATCCCACTATGGAGTTGACTGCCAGTCTCATCATGGGGAATTAACCACCACCAGCTGCCCAACCACTCAACCAGGCCCAGCCAAGTAACTAAAACAATGCCTTCTGATACCTCTTAGCCTTCTGCACTGGCCTTGGCCTTCCGTACCAGGCTGAGTAAGGTGGTGAGAGCAGACACCCTGCACTAGCTGAAGGAGAGATGCTTCAGAGTAACACCTGAGATGCCATTTCTGGGGCCTCCACTCCCAGTGGGGGCGTCTCCGCTCTGTGTGCTGTGCGGGCACTTCCCAGAAGACAGCTCTCTGTCTGAGTGGCCAACCAGAGCCCCTGGGAGAGAGAGCCTCCCACTGCTATGCACGAGAGTGAGCATGCTGTGGCACTGGGCAGGCCTACATCCCCGAGGGCCCTGCTCTGCTGAGAGGTCCCATGGCCTCTGTATGCCCAGAGGGGCCATCAATCCATTCATCTGGTCTTGGTTATAAAGCTAGGGCTGGGGGCAAGGCAGTGCTGGGAGATTCCTTAGAAACAGAAGCAGGAATCCAGCTGACAGGGCTTGTGGGAAACAGACTCTGACATCCACATGTGGTATGTACACTGAAGCTTCACAGGACCACGGCTGAGGGTAGAGGAAACTTGGTAAGCACCCAACTGGGGTTTCTCACAACCTTGCAGGATGGTGCCCTATATAACAAGCAAAATGCTGTCGACCCTGTGAGACAGGGCAGCTGAGGAGCCCCAGGCACCTGTCTCCAGCTCCATGCCATCTCAAGGGCTCCACTGCAAAGATGGCCTTTGTGCTCACTGCAGTCAACCACACATTTGTCAAGGGCCACGGGCCAGAGTACCCCCTCCCGCTACGCTTCACACACAGCCTCTGAAGAACACTGAGCTGCTCCTCCAGCACTCCACTTGGGGACAGTGCTGCTTCTCCTTCCTCAAGCCTCGAGCAGATGGATCGCTTGCTGACACAGGCCCCGCTCCAACTGCTCTTCCACAGGGTCCTTGAGCCCAGGTGCCTCCTTCAATTCCCACCCACGTCACTGTCACACTGTGGCACCCATGGAAGCAGCAAACTGTTGCTGCCGGCCTCTGATTTTCTTTTCTTTTGCCGTGATGAGCTCATACAGAGCCACTGGCTGCACGGGTGTGGGGGACGGCCAGGCAAGCCCCACAGAGTCCAAGGCTCTCCAGTGACCCTGAGAGCAGGGCCCGCTGAATCGTTCTGCTTTGGAAGCTGTAGGAAAGGGTCATCTAGAGAGACCAGAGTCCCACCCCAACAGCACCACCTAGTGTGGAGGAGTTTAATCTTGAAACTGGGGTGGGGTGGGATAAGTAATCTCATTGTTAAAGATTTTAACAGTAAAAGCTGATGACTGCAAGCAAAACAAACTATCACTACTCTCCACAAACAACATGGTGAGAAAACAGGAAGAACTAAATGTGGACCTAAGCTAGATGTCTAGTGCAACACTTGAAAGGAGAAAGCCAGGTTCAAAGGTGTCCCTTACAGCTGATTAGTGAACACAGAGCCACAATGGAGCTCTCGGAATCTGCAAATGGGACTGTCTACCTTAGCGTCGAACTGAGCCAACATGAGAAGTGGCAGTCATAGGAGGCCAGGTCACATGAGACATGTGCCTGCTACACCACAGGCCATGAGCTCTCAGGCGTCCTCCCCACTGAGGAAGCCAAGGGAGGCTCAAACACAGCCCCCTCAATGAGGCGGCAGCCTGCGCTCTCCAGAGTCTTCAACGCTGAGGGAGCATGGGGAGGTCGAGAGACCACCCTGAACGCTGCAGCGGCCGGGCAGCCCACTCGCAGTCTCACCTGGATCCAGACACATGAACTTGCAGCACTCCTTGGGGTCCTTCAGGTACTGCTGGCAGCCCTGGGGCCGCTCACAGAGGGCAGCCACGCACATCTCTGGCTCCCCACCATGGCAGGTACAGCTCAGGCACAGGTCGTCCCCTTTGGGAGTGAAGGAAAAGCCCTCGTCCACAACATTGTCCTTGATGTCAACACATGTCTGACCTGTAGAAGGCAAACACATACACATATGCATGCATTACCACGAGAAGGTGTGATCTTGGAGCTGGGGGCTGTCTTTATTCTCCCCACTTGGGTCTGGGGACTGGACACCACAACTGAGGCGGTGGCAAGATCGTGTCCAAGAGACCTCCCTCTGCTGGGCTCCTACAAACTACAGCTGTATCTTCTCAGTGAGCAGCTCGAAGGCCAAAAGAACAAAGCACACCTGGCCAGGACAAACCCTGCCACAGAGCCCAGGAACCGAGAAGACTGTAGATTCCAAGAGGAAAGGGCAGGGAGAAGTGTGTATTTTTAAGCTGCCTGAGCAGTTTTGCCCACAAGATTTTGTCAGTTCTAAGGGGCAGCTATTGTGTATTTATGGTATTAAAATCAGACTATGTCTTGAATATGTCTCGAATGAACTGCTGGCTGAGCTCAGAGGAGATGGTCCACCTGACCTGAGACAGCACCAAACCCGAGGACCCCCCGGCCAGGAAAGTCTGCAGATCTTACCCAGTGCTTGTCAGAGGAGTGGGCATGGCTGGAGATGGGAGAAAAGGGAAACCCCAGAGCCTTGGGGTAGACAGACATGACAGAGGCTGGGGATGGGGTGAGGGGAAGGAGTGGGGGTGGCTCCCCAAAGGGATGCACGCTCAGGAATAGGTAAAAGGATGGGAGAAGGAAGCACGTTCTAGCCTCTAAATGGGAGTGGGGTGGCTAGGGAGAGACAACGATGAGCCTGTACCTCACCTATGACTGGGGTCAAAATGAGAACAACAACAAACAAAACCCAAACTCACTATCGAGTCAATTCCAACTGAACTGAGACCCTCACTGGGTTTCTGAGGCGGTAAATCTATACAGAAGTAGATTGACCCATCTTACTTTCACAGAGCAGCTGGTGGATTTGAACCACCAATCTTCTGGTTAGCAGTCAAATGCTTCCACCAGAGTTCCTTTCAAAATGAGAACCACTAGGATTAATGAAAAAGAGAATTTTTTTAAGGAAATTATCTAGAAATAATTGTTACAGTTAATGAAATTAAAAATGGACTTAGGGATATCAATGAAGAGATAGAAATTATAAAAAGGAATCAAGCAGAAATTATGAAGCTGAAAAGTATACCACTTGAAATGAAAACTCCACTAGAGTGGGTCAACAGCAGATATGAGCAGGTAGAAGAAAAAAATCAGTGAACTGGAAGACAAAGCAACTGACATTATCTGTTGGAGAAGCAGAAAAAACAAAGAATGAGGGAAAATGAGCAGTGCCTAGGGGACGTATGGGACACCATCAAGCGTACCCAACATTCACTATGAGAGGCCCAGGGGAAGAGAGGATAAATGCTATTAACGGCTGAACATTTCCCAAATCTAATGACAGGTATGAGTCTGTACATCAAGTCCAAGCAGGAGAAACTTAAGGAGAGCAACACCAAGACACACTGTAACAAACTGTGGAAGGCAAAAGACAGAGAAAATCTTGAAAGCAGTGGGAGATAAGAGATTGATAAGATAAAAGGGATCATTGATCAGATAAACAGATTTCTCATCAAAAACCATGCTGGCCAATTTATAGCAATAAATGCACACAACAAAAAAGAAGAAAGAGCCAAAACCAATACTTTAAACCAACAACTCCAACAATTAAAAAAAGAACAGCAAGAAAAGCCTACAGTCACCAGAAGAAAGGAAATAATCAAGATTCGAGCAGAAATCAATGAAACAGAAAACAGAAGGGCAATAGAAAAAAAACAACAAGACCAGAGTTGGTTTTTTGAAAAGATTAATAAAATTGACAAACCACTGGCAAACTTAACAAAGGAAAAGAGGAAGAGAATACAAATAACACGAGTAAGAAACGAAATGGGTGACATCACAACAGAACTGAAATCAAAAGAATAATGCCAGGATACTATGAAGAACTGTACTCCAACAAATTTGAAAATCTGGATAAATGGACAGATTTCGAGAAACACACCACTTACCTAAACTAACACAGACTGATGTGGAAAAGTTGAACAGATCCATAATAAAAGAAGAAACTGAACAGGTCATCAAAAAATTACCAACAAAAAGTCCTGGCCCAGATGGTTTCACTGGAGAATTCTACCAAACATTCAGAGAAGAACTGACACCAATCCTACTCAAATATTCCAAAACATAGAAAAGGATGGAATCCTGCCTAACTCATCTTATGAAGCAAGCATAACCTTGATACCAAAACTGTTAAGCCGAAACAAACCCAAGCCACCAACATTTCAGTTAGCAGCTTCCTCCGGGTGTCAAGCCCTGATGAGACAGCCTGATAAAACAACCGAAGTGACAGAACCCGTCCAGACTGGAAAGTCCCATGCAGTGGCAAGCTTCCTCTTGTGAAGCCCCCTCATGCTAATTAAGTGCAGACCCATACTAACAGCTAATTGGACCCCACTATTTCCTTAGTGTCCCCGCTTA